CTGAATGAAAGAGCGGGTACCGCAGGCAATGTACAGTCGCACGCGTGGATTCTAGTCGTTCTCAGCCGGTAATCTGACGAGAAATAATGGTCGCAGTTAACGTTGTTCATTAGTTGGTGTGCCCGAGAATCGATACACACTTGAGGTGTCATGTATGAGGTGAGATGGTCGTCCTAGTGACACAGAAGGCGTACTGGATGAGCGCCGACCTCCACTTGTGAACTGAGTGCCGTTGAAATGGTCTGGGGGTAGGTGTAACTATGCTGCACCTAACCTAGAGTCTGAAAATTTTTGATAATGTGCTCTTGCCTTGAGGATATTAAAACCAGAAGCGATTTTAGCCCCTAACTCCCAAAATGCCTAAGATGGCGGTTTGCATTTTCCCTTGGGCGAAATACACCATCCTTTACATATATGAGTATGTGGTCACAAACACTGCGCGATCCAGGGGTGTATTTTCTTACTCAGTCGGGGAAAGCGCTCCAGCCCCAAACTTTGAAGAGAGAGCAGGGGCATGCTGATATAGTAACCCTCAAGCTCACGTACTCCTCCTTTCAAAATTTAAAGCATGTATTGATATGTAATTGACTTAATATTGACAGCTACAACTTCCAGGGAAACGCGTAAGGGCTGACTCAGAACTTTTGAGTCCCAATCCATTGCATGCATGTCGGACCAATTCGGCGTTATACAGCCGCATGGACAGCGCGATTCACTTGCGAGCCTTCCGCCAGACGTCATGACGACAACCCGACCCCTCTTCCAGCCGTTATACAGCCGCATGAACAGCGCGATTCACCTGCGAGCCTTCCGCCAGACGTTATGACAACAATCCTACCCCTCCTCCAGCCGGCTGGGTAATGCTCTGAATACTGCAATGACAGCGACCTATGCCTATATCACCTGAAGTCTGTGGCAATCCGGGTGTCACCGAGAAGGCTGCAGGTTACCGGAACATAAAGTACATGTGTTCAAACTCAAGGGCATGACATCTTCAAAAGCTGTTTTAACGGCTGAAACGAAGATGGTTTGCTCATTATCAGAATGTCGCCGACAGATGCGATACCCAGCTGCGTGTGACAGGTTGTGTGGCCTGTAGCTCGTTCTACTCATGTGTCACCAGCTACCACGGTGGGCTGAGCAGAAAATGCCTATCGATTTCCCAAAATGAGCTTCGTCCCTCTTCAATGTCTCCGTCGAACCCACGTTTTTTCGGGTCGTCTCACTAATAATGCCACTTTTTTAGATCAAGTTACTCCAAATTTGACACCCACCTGCAGGCTGGTTTCCAGTTTGACCCTTGCGATCCAGGTTTGTTCCATCCCATCTCTAAAACGTGGTTGCATACACGACAGGTGGTGTCAGCCTAATGAAATGCGTTGTCAATGACGGCATTTTAAAGGCGTCACACCGCACAAATCCATTAGTAACAATCTAATTCAAATCAGACTGGCAGGTGAGCATAACCAGGCAGTGCAAACCCACTCTGGAATGTAAAAGATCATGGTTCGTAATGCGCCAGAGCAAACTTGTATACTGGCGAACAGCAGCAGGCGAACAGCAGGCGAACAGCAGCGTGCTCGGAGCTCACTTTACCCGCAGAGCCAGACGTAACCATCAGAAAAACATTCAGTCCAAATATATCAATAAAGAAATTCTTTGTTTAACATTTCAAAAATATGCTCAGTTCATCGTTTTTACTTTTAAAAACCATAAATCGGTAATCGTTTGAGATTTTAACGTTGCAAGCACGCTTACAGCAGGTGTTTACACATTTGATATATATATATATATATATATATATATATATATATATATATATAGATATATATGTGTGTGTGTGTGTGTGTGTGTGTGTGTGTGAACACACATATATGTATATGCATGCACATATGCTGACGCTTAACAAACTGGACTATATTATTACACACAACACACACACACACACACACACACACACACACCACACACACACACACACACACACACACACACAACACACACACACACACACACACACACACCACACACACACACACACACACACACACACAACACCACACACACACACACACACACACACACACACAACACACACACACACAACACACACACACACACACACACACACACACACACACACACACACACACACACACACACCACACACACACACACACACACACACACACACCACACACACACACCACACACACACACACACGCACACACACACACACACACCACACACACACACACACACACACACACACACACACACACACACACACACACACACACACACACACACACACACACGAGACAGAGACAGAGACAGAGAGAGAGAGAGAGAAAAAAGTACATATATATGCTTGTATAACCTGGTTTCTAAACAAAGGTGTACAATTTCGGAGATGTTCAGCAACATTCACTACTCAATGCTCGAACCTGGCCGTAATCAGTGAACTTCACGTCTAATCTATGGTCAACGCGAAATGGCTCTGTTAAGAAAATGTGTGGAAAATACGTATCATACACATCGAACATTCCGTGTTGACGTCATTGCCACCCATTTTCTTCATCTCGCCAAGGGGCGGTAAGCTCGCCAAGGGGTGATAATCTCTTGGCATTTAGTGAATGGCCGATAAGTGGCCAAGCGACCGATTTTCTTCGACGCATTTTCTCAGAATGTGCTGAACCGCCTGGCACCGAGCTGCGCTGGCGGTGTATTGGTGCCCGCTCACCCTCATCCTTCTGGCGGGCTGGCCGGTACGCACCCTCTCGACCCCACAAATGGTCGAGTTCCGGCCGACGACACCGGTGGGCTGGAAGCCGATCCCAGTGCTGTTCCCCCCCCCCCCCCCCCCGCCAGGGGATCCGCCGGCATCGTTGAGCGACGCTTAAGCCTGCACCACGATTCCAACTGGGACCCCCAGAAACTTATGTTATTACTGTAAATGCTTATCCTGGATTTCTTAATTCAGCGTCTTGTCTGGACACGTTTGCTGTCAACAAATTGGCGGCTCTTCGGAAAGTGCATATTTCCTGTATTCCCCAAGACAGGCCGTTTCCCCCGATATCCAAACATTCGGGTCGACCATTCCAGATACGCATACGGCAGGACTGAAAAAGGTTCAGGCCACTAAAACATGTATTTCTCTATCAGTGTTGTAATGTGCGCAATTTCATCGCATTCAACACCTTATGAAAGAATATTTTGAACAGGATTTCGAACAATGATACCATCCCAGTCTCTTTTCATGCTGGACGGGCGTTGATGTGAGTCTCCCACGCCCGGAGCCGAGTGGATGCTTTTTTACCTCTGTGGAGACCATCCTGGAGAAAGCCTGTCTCGTGACTATCAGAAGAATATCCAGGACCGGTTTGTCTCTGAGGCCACGTTTAGTGGATGACAGACTGACGTGCTCCTCGATGCGAGATGGCGTCCTGTCCATCGCCCCACAGAGGTCCAGAAATGGTGTCACGAGAATCTTCGTTACTCTTCGCAAAGCAGACATGGCCGGGGAAACAACCCGGCACCGATCCGATCGCGGAAATGTGGAGCATCTTCCAGCGGATAATCTACGGGGGAGGCTACAAACAAACGTCTACAAGTCTAAAGGGCACTAAAAAAATCATACTCAAAAATGAAACCAATTGTGATGGACAGTCTTATTGCCAGCAAACCACACCGTGCCCGTACATGCATGAAGATTCAATGGTAATACACTGGTCACTTCACGAACGGAGCACTTTCTCACTTTAGAAAGAAAGCAGATTTCTGGGTGCACGCCAACTCCTGCCGGGCCCCGCAGTTGCAGGGTAGTTCCCACAATGGTCGTATCCGGTTGCGCGCGGTGTCCGTGTTCGGGGAGGACATGTCTGGGTCGCTGCAGAAACGCAGGTGGGGCGCATTGATTACGAAGCCGTGCGGAATAATTGACAGTTCCGTTCCCGGGCCCTGCTGTGGCTGAGCAGCCGGATGCCGCACCACGCCGTATTGACTGTGCAGGCTGCGGTCGTGCTATAACGGGGGCTTGCTCCGCCTGTTTTAATGGCGTGCACAGTTGCGCTTCGCGCTGTTCCGGTGTGGTGTTTTGGCTGTTGCCGGGGCCGCGTTGATGCTATATTGCATCTGCATTGGATAATTTTGGGCCGCTTCACAAAAAACATGAGGCTAGACCACAACAGCACCAAAACGTAGGAGCACGAAGAAATGACATGCGACAGCGAGCAGACATGGCTAGCCAGCTACCCTACCTAAATTCCTTTTTAGCAAGCTTGATAGCAGACGTTTTATCTAACCACCTTTTTAGCTTATAGCTAGCTGGCATATCTTTTTGAAGACCCACAAAATTCCCAGGATCCGAATCCAAGATTCTCTTTACGTGGAACTGTATGGGTCCATTCGAACCGTATGGGTCGTGTCTGGGCTACATGGCATTTGTAGTCGCCATATACTGGAACGTATGACAGGACTGTATCGGGCCAGGGGGACATTTCGGCACAACTACTCTGCATGCAGCATGAATGTGATGTCTCTTGGGTAACGGCCATAAAAGTTATTTATTGGTGCAAAAATAGATGGTGTTCCCAGCGAGCTTTTTTTCTTAGGTGCTTAACGAAGCGCCGTGACAATATCAGCAGATTTAATTTATTTTCAGATCATAGATGATCTGTTATTCTCAAGTACAATGGCACCACATTTTTGTATTCCGTTCCCCCTCACCCAACTCGTCGCAACCGCCCTCCGCTGATCGTTTGCCCACTTGACGCACGGAACCGCACTGTCGTCCCCAGTTACATGCTGTCCTATCTGAACATCATCCGAGCAATGGAGCACTTCAGCTTGTTCCTGACGTACGGCATGCGCTACTTCGCCATCGGCGAGCTGCCTTCACTTTTCTTGACGCAAGCCGTGCGCTCCGACACCCTCTTCTGGGAGTACATCAACAACACTCGCTCCTACTCCAGCGAGATGTCAGAGAAGATCCATTACATCTTCGACAGCTTCGAGGGGTACAACAGCTACATCCGACTGTAAGCCCATCAGCAGTGATGATATGCATGAGTGTTACCTGCTGATAGAGTCGTCGTGTTTTTTACATGTTTTTCCTGAACACATTTTTGGATATGGCGTGGTGATTATACAAATATCAAATCAAAATTCCTTCGCACTTCCTACAGGCTATGTGCAATGTAACATAATGCATCAAAATGCTTAATCAGATCAATCCTGTTAGGTTTTGCGTAAAGGCGCAAACACATGCACACGTGCACATGATATATGTGGGCATCTGAGGTTCCGTAACTGTGCACATTCTTCACTAGGACGCAGTCGGGGTACGTTCTTTTACACGCGCCTTACTGGGGAGTTTTTTTATTTCCTCTTCCTTCGTCACTGCGCTGATTCAGACAGCGACCAACTCATTACTTTTACCGAGCAAAATAAGCGTGTTGTGCGATTGCTGACCTCCCACCTTTAACGCCTCGTTATTCGGCGACAACTTCCAAACAAACCATCTGATATATATATATATATATATATATATATATAAATTTTTGCACCGGAATTTTCTGACCATAGGTGTATTGAAGGGTGCAGGGAGGGCACGTGCCCCAGCCACCCTTATCAAAGTCCTACCTGGATGTGCATGTGACTCAATGTCGACCTTAAAAATCAAGTAGACATATAGGGCAAGGTCATTGAAAACATGCGATGTGGGTACACATCAAGGAATGCATTTCGTGCGCCTCCGGGTTCTAAGTTAGGTTTTGATCCTCGCCCTAACAGGGGGTAGGGTCGATCTGATCCCGCCTAATAGGGGGTAGGGTCGATCCGATCCCGCCTTATAGGGTGTAGGGTCGATTCGGTCCCGCCTTATAGGAGGTAGGGTCGGTCCGATCACGCGATATCCTACGGGGCATCCATTCTGCGGGTCTTGGGACCAAAAAAGTTCCGCTATGATTTCTCGTTTCGGGGCAGCGGCGGTTTTTGAGGGACACTGAACGGCGACCTGCGCCCGGCGTAGGTGGGGGCAGCTACCGACGATGCCACGGAACGCACGCGGAGAGCCGGCATCGTTACATTAGCACGCGCCCGGGTGGCCGGCTGGGTACCTTTCGCTCGGGTGGGGGTCAATTTGGCCCACTTCTGAGATCTCGGAACCTAAGAGAGCTAAAGGCACCAGAGTCACAGCGTGTGTTGACCTTAACGTGAGCTCATTTGTGTCAAAATTTAGGGCTTCTAGGTCGTAACCTTTGGGTCAAATAAGGTCAAACAAAGTCAAATTTCAGGTTGGTGCCAAAAGTGCCCCCAAAATCTTGCTACCTCCCCTAACCAAAATGTCACTGGTGCTCATTTAAGGTTAATGACCTTGTTTGACCTTTTGAAGTTCATGGTGACAGGAAGTATACTAGACAGCCTTGAGTTTTGCATCTGAATAAGCGTTAAATATTAGCTAGACAGCGTGCTCTTAAAAACAAAATATTGACCTGGGACATTTCAGGTCGTTTACTGCTCCTGAATTCAAAGAATCCATATAATATGCATCATGCGGTTCCTGTTATCAATAAATTCGCAATGAGCACCAAAAACTATCTCATCTATTAAGCTCCAGAGTAATAAAACGGGTTGGTTTTCATCGGGGCTGGCTATGTCCTGTATGAAAATTCATTATGCTAAAGCGGCGAGATCAAGGCCTTTCTGGCTAATATCAAGCAAAAGATAATGTTAGATATCAAGCAAGCAATAGTTATCTTCTTGTGGCAAGGGTATCTTAATTAAGCTATTTACGGCTTCAACTAACCGTAAAAATAGTTCGAAGAGTTAAATGTTCAAAGAACTGATCGGAAGAAGTAAAAACGTAAAAGTGTCTTTAAGAGTATCGGCAGGCTAGTTTTTACTCATCACGCAGTCAGGCCTGCTACCGTTGCGATGAAGTAGTACTGAAGTGGTCCGACTAGTTTGCTGAGGATTTCTGTAGGTACAAAATAGAACAAAGCATCACAAAGTTAAGGCTTTTAGTTACAAAATATAAGGTTAATTACAAAGTACGTTTACTTTTGAAAGTTTCGGAATCGCCGTATTCTTTTTAGAAATAATGACCGCTTTAAGCATTAACAATCCATGCCGATGTGTCCATGTCGACTCAATCGAAATAAGTGCTTACCAAACTACTGGGAACAGCCATATTAAGCGTGGCAATTTTCAAGCCGCAGGTTGATAATAACTAGTTTTATTGTGATAGGACGGCGAGTATTTTTGCCTTTTGTTGTTGTTCCTTATAGGTGGCTTTAACCTTGCAGACGTGAGAAGATACTCACCAACGAGCCAAGAAATGGGTCTCCAGAATTCGCCATTGAGTTCTTCGTCAATGGAACTACAATGGCAGATCTTCTGCGAGATGTCCAGGTGGAGCTTAGGAACATGATCACGTGAGTCTAGTTAAGCGTTCAGATGTGCTCAGAGACATCAATACGCGATTCTACTCTTGAACTCATATGAAGCTCAGGAACCTGCTTTCAAGCTGAGGCATCACCATGCTACGCTCTTATGCTTAAGACCAAGATTTGTTGCCACGCAAAACACATTTCAGTCGAATGCCGTGTGCTTGGTCCTGTCTCTTCAATGCTCGATTGTGTACCTCCTCATTCCAAGCCCTCTCAAAATTTTTTGCCAATAGACTACGGCACACTGGCACTGCATTTGAGGCAAACGCGCCTCTATGTTAGCAAACGCCTGAGTTCGTCCGGGGTTGGGCGGGTTTCACCTATTGGTGCTTCTGTTATGGCAATTTGTTGGAGCGTTGCATTATGGCATAGGGCAGCGAGCAAAACTGGTAATATTTCAGGTTATCCGAATGTGCTGTGGCTGCAAAAATTACTCTTCTGAACCAGAGCTTTCTGTTCATACTTATGGAAGATAATCTGGAAGGCCTAACCGGTTGTAGATGCATTGATTTGCTTCACCCTTTTCAATGCTTATTTTCTTGTGGCAAAGTTATCCTAACTAAGTTATTCACCAAATAGTCTAAGTAATTCCCCTTCGCGTACGGGAACTAAATTGAGTGGAAAACAATGCTAGGATGAAACTGTTACCATCATTGGAAAACGTCTGATGCAGAATTGGCAGTACCAAGACGCGTAATGGTGGCCTATCTTACTTGCGGTATTGTAACGTTGTAACACTGATCCTGCAGGACAAACGTGAAGGACCAGGTGTCGAGAGCGTATGGCCAGCAACTGGTGGCAATCATGCTGCTAGTTTTGGTGCTTATTGTCTCGCCGATCATCATTCTGCTCGTGCGCAAAATTGCCTTGACCATGCAGGTAAGTTGCGCAAGTACTGGTTCACTACAGAATGCTCATTAAAGCTCACGTAGAAGCATAGAAAGTTGCGATATATGCCGATTGAACCCTTGCCCCGACTCCTTCTTTATCCTAGCCCAGACTAATAGGGTGGGGGGCCGATGCCATCCCCTCACCGTTTTCAACCTAACAAAGAAAGAGCCTCGCGAAAAAGCGGTGCATTGATCTCAAGGAGACCTTACGATCGTTCTTAAGCTTGATGTTTCTAAAAAAATTATTATCATTATGTCGTCCGGAGGAAAATTTTCCTAAGCTTTGCACTATTTCAGCTTTACGTGCCATTATTTTTGAAATCATGCCACCTAGAAGCACGCAACTTGCACAGACATGTTCCTTGCTTACTTCTGAGCACATTTTGTACCCTGTTTTATATGTTTCGAACAGCTATTTTAATGCAGGGCTCCGTTTCTGTGACAGTGTCGGTCCGTCGCCCCCGATCGGCGCATTCATCGGCCGCCGCCCGCCGCACGCGCCAGCCGTGGATCGTCGTGTAGTGTCCCTAAAAACCGTCGGCATTCGGAAACCAGACATGCTAGAGTCGGAGTCACGTTTTACATGTAAAAACATACTCTAGGAACGTCTGAATTTGGGCGCGTTTACACCAAATGTTGGAGAAATATCCTCAGAAAATCTTAGGGGGTGGGAGGGGGGGGGGGGAGGCTCGAGATTGTTCAATCCTTACGCGGTGATATATTTGCATCGTTTTATCTAATATTCGTTGCTATGAAAAACCCAGTGGAACTGCCGCAGAGTATACGTTGGGCTGCATTTATTGGTGCTGAAATGCTGTTTTACAATGCCAGTTTTTACATTTCCAGGAATCATGACGTTGGTAAAAGTCAAATAAAAAAGATCGGTTCCTTCTTCACAGCAAGGCGTTTGCCAATTGCTCAGTATCACGTCGTTGAGCCGTTTTTTGATGACAATCGGCTTACCCTTAAAAGATGGTGCAAATCCTTGGAGAAAATGAAAAACTGCAATCTGGGCGACTTTACATTCCTTTGCTTACGCTGTCGATGTGCAGCGGTATTGCATAGTGCAGCTATGGTACGTCATGCTGTTTGACACCTGCTCCCAAGTTAGCAAAACCACGTCTGGTTCGGTCCATGCTCAGATTGCACTTTCATCAAAGACTCTCTTTTGTCCATTGTATCAGTCAGTTGTATTGGCTATTTGAAGTTTACATGTAGCGTGCAACATAGGAGACTATTGGGCTCATGAAAAATAATCGCCCATCTATGTCAGCTGAGATGCTTTTAGCACCACCTTTACGCGGAGTTAAACTATATTGACGCCTAAGCAAACTAGTACAATCCTTTTAACCGGGCTGAGTTTCATGCATTTCTTCCCGCCTGCAAACCTACAACCTCACGTCAATGGCTTTCCCTCAGAATTTCACCGAGATGGTGGCAGCTAAAACCATGGAGATTTCGCGAGAGAAAAAGAAGGCGGACCGCTTGCTGTACCAGATGCTGCCGGAGCCGATCGCCAGGCAGCTGAAGGGAAAAGGACAGGTACCTGCCGAGTCCTTCGAATCTGTCACCGTCTACTTCAGCGACATCGTGGGCTTTACCAAAATCTCGTCACAGAGCTCTCCCATGCAGGTGAGTAGCGGTGCGCTCGCGTTATGACTGAAGTACGTTGAAACGGGCGTGAGCATAAATCGGGTGGAGCGAGCTCTGAGATTTCATTGTTCAATTAGTTCAAAGCAGATCCTTTTCAGATACAGTTCAGTACACGTAAGTTTCCACTGTTTTCTGTATGCACGTTAGCATTGCCCCCCCCCCCCCCCTCCCCCGACGACAGCAGAAATCCGATGTGTTTCATTTAATTCCCATCATTTGAGAAGGTCGACCAAACCAAGACTATAGAAACAATAGGACCAAAGAACCTACAGAAACAATTGGCACAAAAGGACCGAAGACCGAACCACTTGAAGTTATGGCTACAGGTAATGAGGATGAAACGTGCTTAGTCGTCCTTAGATTCTCTGCACTTCAACCACTTTTATCAGATCGAGTCGATTTTGAAGCTCTAATAAAAGCATGTGTTCTGACGCACATGACGACAGAATGATTTGATCTCAACAGCTTTGTGTGCTACGAAATGTAAAACATTTCAGATGCCCTTAAATGTCCGCCACAGATCACATTTTTTCCGGGATCTCGTGGAGCCTTGTCGCAAGTAATGGCCTCTCAGGGCATCTTTGGCCTTAAAATGGTCATGAGTGAGCATTTGTAGTGCTCAGAGACTAAGATGAACAGATGGTAAGATACCAAAAGGAGATGGTAAGATGGCTGTGGCCGGGGCAGTCGGCCTGCTCTTGGCTGTGGGCCGGAGCAGTCGGCCTGCTCTTGGCTGTGGCGGGGGCAGTCGGCCTGCTCTTGGCTGTGGCCGGAGCAGTCGGCCTGCTCTTGGCTCGGGGGGGGGGGGCAGTCGGCCTGCTCTTGGCTGTGGCCGGGGCAGTCGCCTGCTCTTGGCTGGGTGGAGGGGCAGTCGGCCTGCTCTGCTCGGGGGGGGGGGGGAGGCGGCCTGCTCTCGGCTGTGGGGGGCAGTCGGCCTGCTCTTGGCTGTGGCGGGGGCAGTCGGGCCTGCTCTTGGTGTGGGGGGGCAGTCGGCCTGCTCTTGGCTCGGGGGGGAGGAGTCGGCCTGCCCCTGGCTGTGGCCGGGGCAGTCGGCCTGCTCTGGCTGTAGCCGGGGCAGTCGGCTGCTCTTGGCTCGGGGGGGGGGGCAGTCGGCCTGCTCTTGGCTGTGGGGGGCAGTCGGCCTGCTCTTGGCTCGGGGGGAGAGGAGTCGGCCTGCCCCTGGCTGTGGCCGGGGCAGTCGGCCTCGCTGGCTGTAGCCGGGGCAGTCGGTCTCTGCTCGGGGGGGGGGGGGGGGCAGTCGGCCTGCTCTTGGCTGTGGCGGGGGCAGTCGGCCTGCTCTTGGCTCGGGGGGAGAGGAGTCGGCCTGCCCCTGGCTGTGGCCGGGGCAGTCGGCCTGCCCCTGACTGTGGCCGGGGCAGTCGGCCTGCTCCTGGCTGTAGCCGGGGCAGTCGGTCTGCTCTCGGCTGTGGTCGGGACAGTCGGCCTGCTCCTGGCTGCGGCACACCTGGCGCTGGCCCAGCTGCTAGGTGCTGGGACGGCTAGCAAGCCACGGACAATAGCTGTCCCACGGGAGGCTGCATTCGTTCTGTTCGCCTGTCGTTGGATGGCTACAAACAACGAGCAATCTCAAGACACTGACAAAATGATCACCGGCGAAATAGTGTGCGACGGTTGTTCCAGGAAACCGTTATCGAGCACCGTTTAAAAAAAAAACTAAAATTAGATGGCGTGCCACTGAAATTTCACTGGGTGTTCACTTCACGCTTTCTTTCCTTTCTTCCAGAATGCAAACGCTAGTTGATGGGACATGAGTGGGTTCCCATTGTTGCACGTATGGCCACAGGACACCCTGCCAAGGTCGTCGATGTCATGAATACGCCGCTGAGGGTAGGCAAGCACAGCTAGTGAGTGACAAACGACAAGCATCGCTTTTCTCATAGCCAATGGTTAGAAACGTCTAGCTGGTGGTGCGTCGGGAAAGGTATGCGTATAAGCGTTGAAAGTGAAATTCTACTAAGACTAAACCGGTGAAAAATTTAAGAGTTTGTCTGTTTTAAGATTATCTCTGTTTTAGTTCCAAGTAATAGACTACAGGCATTGCCATGAGGATCCAGCCATCTGAGCCTTTCACAACGACGAGTAAGCCACAAATGATTCAAGAAACACTTGTCATAGTGTGTCGAGCGATGGTGAGCACATATAGGAATATGGCCGTCCGCCGCCGACACCGCCAACACCGGACCGATCCGAGGCTGCCGAGCCACCGCCTGGCATGGCGCCGCTTCCCGTAGGTCACTGGTCAAGTGAGCCGGCCGCTGCCCCGCTGTTCCCCATATGGTGCGAACCACGCGGTCGCCCGCTCGTCATGCGCCGCTTTCCGGCTCACCTCTGCTACAGCCCAGCCGCGGCGACGCCCGCCGGAGCACTGTCCAGATTAGACCAGTTGGCGCCGGCGGTAATGATCCCGTAACGAGGCTAGTGCCGTTACGTAATATTAACGCACGCTACCTAGGTGCGGCCCAATGGTACACCAGCCATAAAGGTGACAACCTGCCCTGGAGAACACCAACTTGATTCATGCCCAAACGATTCGTGTATATATATATATATATATATATATATATATATATATATATATTAAAGGAATGATGCTGTCCATGTATAAACCACATAACAGGACAGTTAAGTTTTTTGATTGTTGAACACAACAGGCGTATACACAGCGTGAAACGCCCGTGCTAATGACCTGACCGTTTTTACTCTTGTTGCCCATATCATCGTCCAGATCGCACCTGTCCCTGCTCATTTACTAGGCCCACTGCAAAACTTGAGATGCTAAGCATATTGGACTGATCGACCACATTTTCCTACACTGACTACGCTTTCGTGTAGCCGTAGTGCTAATGGCTTGATTACTATCATAATCGCGCGCGACATTTCCACACTCAAGCGTTTTATGGTCTCGCAATGTAATTTCTCCGAGTTACAGGACTCGGCTCCGCCTCACTCAATAACTCCAAGTAATATTCCGTGGTTCCCGCCCGTCCTGCCAGACTGTGGGGCAAGGCAACACCATATAGTCCCAGCAGCTGAGTGCGTCGTAAAGCCTCTATGACAACGAGAACCCGAATACATAAAAGTGTTTGGCAATAAAACTGTAGAAACGGAAGGGAGCAAAATGGGTTTACATAGTGCAGCCATAAATGTCTTACTGACATTGATTTATCAATGTGTCATTTAGACCCAGTTATCTATCACAAACCGGTTTAACAAAATCACTTAGGTCAGCTATTGTAAGCTGACCCTACATGGCCCGTGCTATGGGCATGACATCATACGCTATAAGTATGGCGGACCCCGACTAACAGTTGAATTTCTCGATGATTTACATAAAAGAGATTCGGAACAAGAGACTGTAAACTGCTGCATGAGGCAGACATGTACGCGCAAAGCCTTGCCACCTTAAGGCAGCAGCCCAGATCAGTAGGGCGAATACGATAAATATACAACCGGCTGGATGATGTTGACGTGAACCACCCGAAAATAAATGTATGGTCGTGTGGCACATCAACGCGGATCAGCAGCGGCTGCGGAAGTAGACCCTGACATCATCGTCTTCTCCGTTTCAGGTTGTGACGTTTCTTAACGTGCTGTACAAGCTGTTTGACAGCCGGATAGATCGGTACGATGTCTACAAGGTCGAGACTATAGGCGACGCATACATGTGCGTCTCGGGACTACCTAGTCGAAACGGTACGCTCATTGTGGCCGCATTCCGACTTCGGTCTTCAGTTCCCCGAATCGGAAGTTGCAATCACGGCATTTTACGGTGATGGTATTCAGTGATTCGGTATCCATAGAAGTGTATGTGCACGTGCGGATACCCGCACGCACGCATACATGCATGCATGTCCCCACGCACGCGCGCACGCACGCACGCTTGCTCGCACGCACGCAGATTTTGTGGTGTCAGAGATGAGTGAACTATCTCACCCAGAGTCACGGTGAAGGGGACAGCTCCATTATGCCCTGAAGTGCATTATGGTGGGCTAGCACCGCGTCACTTTGCTAAATTGGCTGTTGTCTACTCTTCGCCGCGATGAGGCGAGGCACGGAGCTAGCCTTACTTCGCTGGTGTAGCTCCGCGCGACCCAGTGCACTTGCAGGATTTGCGCATTTAGGAGGCATCATCTTAGTGTGGAATGCCCCCCTCCCCCTTCCCCCTCCCTTCCCCGCCGCCGCGGGGAGACGCAGCTGTCCCCACAGACTTACGCCATACTCGAGATGCCCGCACCCGTCTATTGTGTTCTGGACTGATCAAGAGGCTACTCGCGCCAGTTTGCCAGGATAAAAAGAGAGCGCCAGGGGGATTAGTACGTAGCAGACACTCGACATGGTGAGCAGGAAGTTCCAGGACGGTGGGAAATGTATAGCAGATGAAGCTGTGTTTTCGTGTGAGCTCCTGTGCTTTTAAGGACGACTGGCTGATGTCGGGCGTATCACAACGGGAAAAATAACCGCGTTGAAAGAATTCGACATTCCTTGCAGGCATTTGAGCCAAGATTTGGCTCCTGAAAGGAATGCTCCACATATGAAGATATTGAGGCAAGCATCAGATGTGTCAACAAAAGCTCACGTTTTACTATCGGTACACTTTTAAGTGGAAGAGACTGCTCTAGACAACACCATTTTTCTTTTTAGTTAATATGCTGCTCAATACATCATTGTTCGCTTGCGCGATGAAGCGCTTGCATGGCGTTGAGGTGCTGCCAAACTAGCCGTGCGAAATGACCACCATGGCGTTCATGTGCAGTGCTTAACTCGCCGAGAGATGGCAGTGTCGGTCATGGAAGTGTTCGCTGAGCCAAATATCGTTATATGCTCGTGTTCTGGCCGCTTCTTGGGATGCTCTTGCAAATTTCTCATTGAGTTTAGGATGTTTGCTTGTATTTACATGCTCGCTTATGGCGCTATTTCTGATTTATTCAATTACATGTCTTATATTATTAAACACTAGCAATCACGTCCAAGTGTTCACATTGTGTAGCGCATGCAGTTGCGTGGGCTCGGCCAGACCCCTCGGGCAGACTCACAGGCTTTCGTCAGTCGATTCGGTGGCCGAAGACCTATCTGACACGACCTCAGCAAGTGGTTTGCTCCTTTTAACGGCTCTCAGCCAAGGAGTCTTTTTTCGCACCGTCGGTTCCGTCACTTTTCCGTTCTCGCTAGCTTCAAACACACCTTTTCGCTTAGTTTTTGTTCTCTTCTCGCTCCCCTAATATGGGGAAGCGAACCAAACGTGAGAAGGGTGATGCTGACACTGACTCGAACTCGGGCCTCTGACCTCGACAATGCCCTGGACGTAGACGATGGAAGTGTCGCCAGCCCCGCTTTTGCTGCCACTTCAACCTGATGGCCCTCGCGCGCCCCAGGCCATGGCCGTTCGTACGCACACTTCCACCCGCGGTGGGTGGACAACAGGCTTCGTCTCCGTCCAACGCCCCCAGTTCCGACCCTCGCTCGTCTTTGACCACTCCGGTGCCCCGCTCGCCCTGATGCTGACCCTCGCTCGACAACGACCAGTGTTCGCCAGCCCTCTGAGCCAATCCTGGATCCTCTCGGATCGTACGTTGTCGTCCAACCTTGTGACGAAAATGTGTCGTTTCGAAAGATCAACGTTTTTTGGCCATCAAAGCAAATCAAAGCTATCTGCGGTCCGTGCGAACTCAGATTGAAGCGCCAGCAAACGGATCACTCATCATCAAAACAACCACTCGCGCGCAAACCAAGGCCCCTACTCAAAACAGCTGAATTTTGCGGCAAACAAGTCAAAGTCTCGCTGCACCATGCCAGAAAGCACCAGTAAGGGCACCATCTTCGCGCCTGAGCTCCGCTTCATGACGGAGGACGAGATCCTAGCGGAGCTCAGAGATGAGCAAGTTTGCCATGTCCGTCGGCTGACGACTTTCAGAGATGGTCAGCGTCACGACACCAGCCTGCTTGTTATCACCTTTGGTACCACCCGACTTCCAGATTCGCTCACCGCTGGTTACCTTCGTTATAAAGTAAGAGTATTCATTCCAAATCCACTCAGGTGTTTTAAATGTCAACGGTTCGGACACGGCAGCAAGTACTGCAAACAGAGTGCCAGATGCTTGAAGTGCGGCGAGACTCCTCACGAGGGATCTGCCTGCACATCACCCCAGAAATGCCTGAGCTGTGGAAGTGCTGATCACGCCGCCAACTCTTCTCAGTGTCCCACGTGGAAAAAAGAAAAAGAAATTTGTTCTGAAAAGGACAAAGACAGGTGTGTCGTACCCCGAAGCACGGCGCACCGTTGAAACTAAAATGTCGTCGCAGCCCAGCAAAACATATGCCCAAGTAGCAAAAGCCACGATGGCCACATGTGCAACACAGACCGACCCTATCACCCATCTGCCTCCTCTGAAACTTCTCAACCCTCGCCCCTCGGTTTCAGTTGAGTTTAACTACGCAGACCCAGACGAAAAATGCCGTTGAGTCGCCCTGGCTGGACGTTCGGATGCCCAGGCGCCGTGCACCCCTGTCCCCAGGTCGGCCGGCGTTCCAGCCCGCCGGCTGTGAGTGATTCACGCGCGGGTCAGGCCGTCCGGCGTTCTAGCCCCCCGGCTATGAACAGTCGGCGGCCCGGACCCTCTGGCCACCACACAAACATCACCTCCCCTTCCCCCACCACAACACCTGTCGAAACACGCCCGAACGAAGACCGCCGGTCCCGTCCACCGGTGAGGGTGGCGATGGGACGGCCTAGGTCTGTTTCGTTCGGGTGATTCCCATCAACCGGTGGGAATGGATCCCTTCATCACTAAATGTCTTTCATCTTACAGTGGAATTGTCGCGGTCTCATTTCAAAATGGTCCGAAATGAAAGCACTTTTTGCCGTACTAACTCCAATCATTATTGCCGTACAGGAAACATGGTTTCGTCCCACCGACACATATAACTTTAAAATGCCAAATTACTCGTTATATCGCTATGACACGATGGACGGTGAGCGTCGCCAAGGTGGGGTGGCGCTGTACATCAGTCAAAAATTAACACACACGCCACTCACTCTTAACACACCTCTTCAGGCTGTTGCAAGTTCAGTTCGACTGCATGGCCGTACCATCGATATATGCTCAATATACATTACACCAAATTATAATAATACGGAGCTCTTACGGCAACTTGACCAACTCGTTGCTCAATTTCAAAACCCTTTTCTCATCCTCGGCGATCTCAACGCTCACAGTCCAGCTTGGAGTAACGGCACCCAAGCCGTTAATCGCCGAGGACATTTGGTTGAAGATTTTATTGATACACACAACTTAGTCCTGTTAAACAAAGGCAATAATACTTATCACCACTTACCCACTGGTACAGAAACAGCCATCGACCTGTCGCTGTGCTCTCCCTCAATAGCAACGTACTTTGATTGGACTGTTGAGGGAGATATACACGACAGCGACCATTTTCCAATTAAACTTTACACCACTTTTGACGCAACCGCTGACGAAGTTTTGCGATCCATACCCCGCTGGAATTTACGAAAAGCAGACTGGGCCAAATTTCAAGAACTTTGTTTATGTGAACCGTGACTGTTATGAATCACCAGAGCAGGGTGTTGGCCTTATTACACATATTATTCATGCTGCAGCGAACGCGACAATTCCACTAACTAAAACGCCATCACGACGCATTCCAGTACCATAGTGGATGACCGAAGTTAAGAATGCTATTGCACGTCGGAAACGTGCTTTCCGCTGCTTTCGTCGCCACCATGATGTACCTCATCTTCTTGCCCGAAATTATGAGCGTGCTCGAACCAGACGAATTATAAGGAGTGCCAAACGTCATTCTTGGCAAACACACATCCCAGCAGTTCACTGCTGCTGCTCCCCTAAGCCAACCACTGGTTTGAGCACTTTCCGGAAAACGCACTTCTATTTCATTGTCCACTTTACGCATTAACAACGACATCATTTCGGCAACACCTCTTATCATCAATGCTCTTGCTGAAAGTATTTCTCAGTGTAGCTCATCCGGAAATTACCGACCAGGATTCGTAGCAACTTCGCAAGCCCGTTTTCGTTTACATCCTGATTGTTTTGCTTCCGATAATACCAAAGACTACAATTTACTATTTTCGTCCCCGGAACTGCGAAAGGCTATAAAATCCGCAGGCGACACCTCGGTTGGTCATCATCGATTACACCATTCTTTCTACGTAGTTTTTCAGGAGATATTCTTCATGTTATTTTGTCAGTTTTTAACGATTTGTGGTCAACCCGCGCCTTTCCTGACTCTGAATAATGGTGTCTTTCCTGGAAAGACACCATTATTATTCCGCTTCCAAAGCCAGGAAAGACACCAAAGACCCATCAAATTATCGTCCCATTGCCCTTACCAGCTGTCTAGGAAAACTTTTTGAGCGGATGGTGGTGAAGCGAATCTCTTGGATTGTAGAACGAGACTGCCTGCTTACAAAAAATCAATGTGGTTTCCGACACAATCGTAGCACAATAGACCATGTCATCAGACTTGAAACTGACATCACACGTTCCTATAAACATCGACACAACACAACTGCTGTATTCCTGGATATTAGCCGGGCCTACGACATGGTCTTTAAACCTGCACTAATTTTCAAGCTCCATCAGTTAGGGTTTAAAGGCCATTTGGCACATTATCTTATTGGGTTTCTTTCCGGCATCAGACCATTTCGTGTGAGA